AGCTTCCTTGACCTTCCAACACAGGATATGCATTAGCCCCCATACATGGTTTTACGATCTGCGGATTCCATACAATATAAAGCGAAGTTCAAGTTATTGATTACAATATTAATTACAAAACACTTATGTTGATCAACAATATGTTATAATTTAGGAAATGAGAAATGACACAACTTAGAAACATGACCTACGATTCCCATGGCATTTTTTGTAATATTATTGAAAAAAACAGATTGTGATCAATAACAAGATAACTAATTGATTGGTCAAGCAAGTGACAGATTGCTTGGTAGATAGAGCGTTTCTCTTCAACCCACTATTTTTCTAGTTTAAATTTTCTCCCATCCCCATAGTTAGAAAAATTCAGTGCAGATTATTCTCCCATTTGTCAAAAAAAAAAAAAAAAAGATTTATCAGTAACTAAGTATTTCTCTTTGCTTTATACCTAGGTTAGTAAATGGAAATTACCTACGATTACAATGCTTCATTAATACATTAATTGGTTGAGATAAAACTCTAATTCAACAACCAATATGAGGAGGGTTATCTATGCAGCAATGTCGTAAGCTACGATTTGGACACCGGAAGATGTCAGACGTCCTGGCACATGCACTGAAATTATAGCCCAATTCATTAGACCGGAGCTCGAAGCCTTGTTCGATAAAACTCCTAACGAGTTTGACAGCTTCGAAGGTGTGCTTCAACTCCCCGTTGCCTGAATTTTTATTCAAAGAAATCGGAGACAACATACCTGCGGAGATGCTCAAGGAAAATTTCCGAACTGATGGTGCACATCCTTCGATTCCCAATGCCTGAAGTGATTACAGGTTGGTTTGGAGTTGTGATGCTTTAAAAAAAAAAAAAAAAAGCTTATTAAAAAATTTAGAACATCAAATATGAAAAGCATAGAAACGTGGAAGCAGAGTCTACCATCTGAAAAAGACCTTTTTTTTTTCTTTTTTTTTTCAAAGCATGGTGATCAGTTTTAGTCATTTAATATGCTCATAGCAATTTTATACAAAAGTTTATCAAACATTGTTTTTTTAGTTAAAAGTACTTTTATAAAACAAATTTATCAGACACTTAAACAATTTTATTTTATTGATGTTTATTTTCACAACTAAAGTCATGAAGGGCCATTTCTATCACGACGGACTGGGATCACCTACGGATCCCATCCTGCGGAGCCAATTGACCACAAGATCGCATCCTTCCATTTTCATCTTGCCTTGTTTTGCGTGAAAATTTTTCATTATTCCTGGCCACAAGATCAAAAATGGAAGGATGAGATCTTGAGGTCAGCTGGCTTTGCAGGCTGGGATCCGGAGGTGAACCCAGTCCTTTCGTGCGTAGCCACCCAAACCGGATCAAGTTTGTTCTTACTTGGAGGCCTCAAACCAGATCGAGTTCGTTCATCTGCATCCAAGTGCAGCCTTCCATCCGTGGGAGCAAAAGCATGGTCCAAAAGTCCACTTGCCCCATCGAATGAGATACCGTCTCCATGATCACGACGTTGAAAGCTAATCTTGAAGTCATCCGGCGAGCCTAACCCAACCTCTTGAATTTGAATTTGGAAACCTCAAGCTCCCAACAGATTACAAAAAATATTTTCCACTTCTGTCGTTTAATTATTTATACTAATGTGTTTTGAGAGTAGATTCATGGTTTAAAATGTTTCACATTAAAAAATAATGGTTCATATTGTTGTATAATATATAGGGTGGTGCCTATACCTCTGTTAATTTTGGTCTTTTGATTCTTTCAATTCGTTCAACCTAACGGCTAAGGAAAAGTAAAATGGAATGCGTATGGATAGCATCACCCAATATATTGTGTCTCCCATTCATTAATCACATAATTATCACTAATTTTTATAGATCTTGACTAGTAGAAGTTTAATCATAAATTTTAGTCAAATAAGGGTTTTCTTGTAACTTGTTGGCTTTATTTTACTTCCATTTCAAAATAGATGAACATAAATTCTATGAAGACAATGTGCTTTTTTGGTTATATACACTATACACCATGTTAACATAAACTTAGCTAGGCAGAAGCTCAAAACCTCAACTGATTGAGGATATCCCCTAATATTATTGTAGCCAAACTATATTATATAAGGATGGTCGAGTATATTAAGTATTAATTTGTTCAAGTACCTTATAAGAAGAGGGTATGTCAGTTGTCTATGTGCACTTTAGAATCAGTTGTCTGTAGGCACTTAAAATCAATAACACATCTAAATCGCAAAACCTCAACAGATTGAGGATATCCCCTAATATTATTGTAGCCAAACTATATTATATAAGGATGGTCGAGTATATTAGGTATTAATTTGTTCAAGTACCTTATAAGAATAGGGTATGTCAGTCATCTATGTACACTTAGAATCAGTCGTCTATATGCACTTAAAATCAATAGTACATGTAAATCACAAAATGCATCAATGCTAACGAAAATCTGTGTGTGTATTATCATCATCTTACCTCAAAAATCACATTGTAAAGACACATGCTTGTTAAAATGACGTATACCAAGTCATACCTCGATACCATTTGACGGGTTGGTTGTTACTTGTTAGTGGTGAGACGTTTCTACCTAGCATTTTCCTTAAGACTATATAACAAGTTAACAACACAATCTCTACTTGTTGTTTGGAAAAGTATACAAGCAAATCACTATGCATAAAGACTTGTGGCAAAGATTTTGGATATTTCGTCGACTACCCTTTGTATTAAGTCTACTAGCAGAGAGCACAAGTGTGTGTGTGAACAATTTCTCTTACTAAATGCATATTTGTTTCCTATACTATTATTAAGAGAAGCCTTATTGTCAACTTTTTTCCCCCTTTTGTTTTCCTATTTGCCCTCCTATTTGTCAATAGTGTGTATGAAAAGTGAGGGCAAAATAGGAAAAAAGGGGAAAAACCGTCCACCACCTCCCACGTTCTCCTCAAGCGCAACCGCTTCAGTTCATTCAAACTATCAAAAAAACATTATGATTTCACTTACATGTATGAAAAAATGATGGAGGGATAATTTCTCTTAATAAATGCATATTTTTTATCTTATGTAAATATTTCAATATAAAAATACTATTTTGCCCTCCTTATGTAGATATTGTGTATCAAAAGTGAGGGCAAAATAGGAAAAAAGGGGAAAAAGTTCAAAAGATACAAAATTACTATTTTGCCCTCATCATATCAACATTGTGTATTAAAAAATGAGGGCAAAATTGGAAGAAAAGGGGAAAGAGTTCAAAAGATACAAAATTACTATTTTGCCCTCCTCATGTCAATATTGTGTGTTAAAAAATGAGAGCAAAATTGGAAGAAATGGGGGAAAAAAGTTGACAAGCCCTCTTCTCTTAATAATATAGATAGATAATATGGATTAACTTTACTCTCGATGATAGAGACATGCAACCAATTATTTGACATTTAAATCTCTGGCGGGTATTGTTTGGTCATCTTTCTGGATGATGACCTTCCTTTTAAAGCCTTTGATTCATCTAGTTCGAAAAAGACTTAAATGAAACGAATTCAATATAATTGTGGTGTATTGAACCACTAATACAAGGTGATATCAGAAAAAATTCCACTCATGATCATATATTAGTTAGTGGTTTGAGAAGTCATTGTGCCAATATATTTTTTAGTATCAAGAACATAACCCAGTATACCAAGTGTCATAATACAATTAATTAGACTCTTGAAAAAAAAAATTTAACCAATTATGTTATAACACTAGATATACCAGTCATATATTCCCAAACACACTAAAAATTATCTCCATCCTGATGAATCAACGATGAACTCCTCCATGAAATCATGTCCCACTACTTTTGTTTTGCCCTAGATTTTCAATATTTGTGCATGCAAACAATAACATAACGGAAAAGGATCCGGTGGGAATCATGTGATTGTGATCGTTCATCGTACATCATGCGATCAATTTTCGTTAGGTACTATTTATATTTAATTTTTAATTTTTAATTTTGAAATGATTTCTAATTACACGATATACAATGAACGATCACGATAACGGAATCCCCATGATCCATAGAAAAAAGATCCGGCGATGATCATTTTCCTAACATAACAACTCATAGTAGAGGTTTAATCATAACCCTACATGTGGCCGCAGACTCAGCCTCCGTGTACACTCCGGTCGATGACATCACCCTTTAGTGTGGCTTTTCCAGCGACAAGTCAACATAAACCTCTTATATGTTAGTCGTTTATGTGCACTTAAAATCAATGATACATGTAATCCCCAAATGCATCAATGCTAACAAAAATCTGTGGGGATAATATCATCACCTTACCACAAAAGTCACATTTGAAAAGAGACATGCTTGTTAAAATGACGTTTACTAACTCATAGCTGGATACCATTTCACGGGTTGTTTGCAACTTGCTAGTGGTGAGACTTTTCTACCAAGCATTAACCGTAAGAATATATAACAAGTTAATCTATTTGTTTGGAAAAGTATACAAGCAAACGACCCACCATGCATAAAGACTTGTGACAAAGACTTTGACTCTTCAAGTCCACCACCACTACCCTTTGTGTGTAGTCTATTAACGTTACTGTTGATGATTGAGAATCTTTAAGAATTTAGACCACATTCAAAGTCTTTGATCCATGAGAGAGAGATTTAAATGAAACAAATTCAGGGTAATTGTGGCATAAAGAACCATTAACAAATTCAGAGAACTTTAACGAAAAACTTACGGTACTGTTTACTTTAACGAAAAATTCTATTTTTACACTAAAAAATCAATCCTGGTACTATTCATTTTACCTTTTATTTTATCCTTATTGTTAAAACTCAAAATTTTCAAACACTTTTTATTAGTTTTTCTAAAGCTTAATCCTTTCTAAAGTGCCGGAGAAGTCATTCCTCCATTAAATTTTCTCTCATGCCCCACTACTTTTGTTTTGACCCTAGATTTTCAATAATTGTGCATTCAACAATAATATAACAACTAAGAGTAGAGGACAAGACAAACTGCTTTAATATTCATCAGAAATTTGGTGGAAAAAAAAAAAAAAAAACCTCTGAATTTTCAAGCACCCAGTTTTCAAATTACAACTGAACACTTCACCATTAAAGTATCCAAAATCCAGTTAGAAGTTTAATTATAAATGGAATTTTGATAAGCTTACGATAATAATCAGCAACAGATTCCCCCGTTTCCATATGTAGCAAACACCTAACCATGAATCCCAATCTTGCTCATCTGTTCCTTACCCTGTTTCTGCAAATCATAACCCTACACGTCGCCGGAAACTCACCTTCTGCCTACAAACCGGTCGATGACATCACCCTACAGTGCGGCTTTTCCGGCGACCAAGTCAACCAACAGGACGGACGAACTTGGAGTGGCGATATCAACTCAAAATTCTCCCCCTTCCAAGCAGCTGGCAGCTCATCCGTATACAAAGCAGCAACCCCGATCTACTCCTCCAGCCAAGTGCCTTACACCACAGCTCGGCTCTCTCGCTCCGAATTTACGTACACATTTCCGCTCACCAGCGGCCAAAAGTTCATCCGCTTGTACTTCTACCCCACTTCCTACGCCGCCGAGTTCGACCGATCTAAATCCCTCTTCTCAGTCGAAGCCGGCGGCTTTACCCTTCTCCGCGATTTCAACGCCTCTGTCACCGCCGACGCTTTCCCGTCGGAGACAGTATCCAGGGAGTTCTGTCTCAACATTGCATCCGAACAGAGCTTGAACATCACGTTCACTCCGAGCAGAGCAAGTCCAGATGCCTACGCCTTCATCAATGGAATCGAAATCGTGTCCATGCCCGACAATCTTTATTACACTCCACCACAAAGCGCAGATGGGCCTGTTTCCGTAGGCAGCATAAACTCGTATCCGATCAAAAATAACACCGCCATGGAGATGGTCTACCGGATCAACGTCGGCGGATCTCAGCTCTCGTTCAATCGGGACACTGGAATGTACAGAAACTGGGATGGTATTCAAGTGGAGTACAACTATTTGGACGATTTGAGTAAAAACTTTAGTGTTCTGCCGCAAAACAGTAGTATTCAGCCCGACTTTTCGAAAATTCCGGAGTACTCTGCTCCGGAAGAAGTTTACCGAACCGCTCGGTCGATGGGGAGGAACAAAACCATAAACAAGAACTATAATCTCACCTGGGGGTTTCCGGTAGATTCTACGTTTTATTACTTTATTCGGCTTCATTTTTGTGAGTTCGAAGGTGCTGTTACATTGCCCAGGGACCGGCTGTTTCAAATCTTCATCGCCAATCAGAAGGCGGAGCAGTTTGCGGATGTAATCACGTGGAGCCAAGGTTATGGGAAGCCGGTGTACAAAGACTACGTCGTTTTCGTGCCTGCAGGCGCCGGAAGTAAAAAGAAAGTTCATCTCTTTCTTGCACTGCAAGCCACCCCAAAAGATCGGTTGACGAATTACAACGATGCAATCTTGAACGGACTCGAGATCTTCAAGCTCAGTGATTCAAATAGGAATCTCGCCGGACCAAACCCCGACCCGCCTCCCCCGCCAAATATAGCTCAGCCGGAGAGCCCCAAAGTTTCAGACAAGAAATCTATTCCTCTGCTTGGGATCATCGCCGGTGTAGTTTCAGGTGTGTTTGTTTTGGCCTCTGTGTTTGGATTTTTGGTTTTCCGGAGAGGAAGAAAAGTCAAGGACTCAAGCTCCAGGCAAGGAACAAAGTGGGGTCCATTTTCTTCTGCGACGACCAAGTCAACCAAGACTCACCGCTCTTCTTTACCGTCCGATTTGTGTCGCTACTTTTCACTGGCGGAGATCAAAGCCGCCACCCAAAACTTCGACAGTGTTTTCATTATTGGCGTCGGCGGTTTCGGACACGTCTACAAAGGAAATGTCAACATGGATGGTGGGTTGCACCCTGTTGCAATCAAGCGGCTGAAATCGGAGTCGTCGCAGGGAGCTCACGAGTTCAAGACGGAGATCGACATGCTATCCCAGCTCCGCCACGTCCATCTGGTGCCACTCGTTGGGTACTGTATGGACGACGGTGAGATGATCTTGGTGTACGACTACATGGCGCGTGGGACTCTCCGCGACCATCTCTACAATACCGATAATCCACCTCTACCGTGGGATCAACGGCTACAGATTTGTATCGGGGCGGCGCGTGGGTTGCACTACCTTCACACAGGTGCGAAGTACACAATCATTCATCGAGACGTAAAGAGCACAAATATCTTATTGGATGAGAAATGGGTGGCCAAAGTTTCGGATTTTGGACTTTCGAAAATGGGGTCCGCGAACGTGTCTCAGACCCATATCAGCACGGTGGTGAAGGGTAGTTTCGGATATTTGGACCCTGAATATTATCGCCGTCAGCAATTGACGGAGAAGTCTGACGTATACTCATTTGGTATAGTGTTGTGTGAAGTACTGTGTGCGAGGCCAGCTTTGATTCGTACGGCAGAGAAAAAGCAAATGAGTTTGGCTGAGTGGACTAAAATTTGTCATCGGAATGGGAAACTTGATCAGATCATAGATCCAAGCTTGAGGGGTAAGATTGGAAATGCATGTTTGAAAAAGTATGTTGAGATTGCGGTGAGTTGCATGCATGACAGTGGGATCGAACGGCCGTCAATGAATGATGTTGTGTGGGGGCTTGAGTTTGCTCTGCAGCTTCAGCAGAGCGTTGGAGGGGATTCAAATTCGAACGATGAAATGGGCGGTGGAGATGACATTGGGAGTGTGACTGGGAGCGATGTAGGGTTTATTAGCTGGGAGGAGTCGTCGGAATTGAAGAAGAGCAGGGTGAGCAAGACTAGTAGTGATCATAATTCTACTACTAATGAATCGATTAAAGGAATGTCTGGGACTGTCTTCTCTGAGATCAACGATCCCAATGGAAGGTGATGATTGATTGAGCAACGTTTTTAATCCGTTAGTGTTAATATATTAAGCTTGGACTCGAACTTATAAATTGTATTAATCTGATGATATATGCTAGGTTGTAGTTGAGAAGTAATCTAAACAATTAGGTATTGGTCTTATGGTACTTCTCTTTCAAATGTTGATGGAGAAGTTAGCTAGGTTGTAGTTGAGAAAAACTCGTATTTTAACATAAAAATATTTAAATTCCGATAAATATTGAAAAATCACTAAACCGACACATATGAAGCACATACAAAAAGTCAGTGGCCCTTTACTACAGTGGTGGGAAGATATTGAGCCTTTGCAAGACGAAGTGGGTTCAAACCCCATCGGTGACTAATCTAACATCTAATCTAATAAAATCTATCGTTTGACCAAAAAAAAAAAACACATACAAAAGCAATTAATACAACAACAATTAATACATCAATTAGCATAATTAATACAGTAACAATTAAGACAAATTGGAAGAATTGTATGAGAAAAGTGAATTTTGTGTGGATGTTTGAACAAATACATAGATATTTATAGAGTTTTTTGATGAATTTTGAGTTAAATAATTGTTTTTTAATTTGGGCTATTAAATTTTTTTTACCGTTAGATTTGATCATATTCGATCTCAACCGTTAGATTCAATAAATTTATAAATATAAAACAAAAATATTAATCAAATTAAATGTTAACCATTCGATAACCAATGATCCATTTAAATTTCAACTGTTGATCAACCAAAAGCTTCTGAGCTATTTCCGAATCATCTCGGCACGTGCCGTGGATCTTATAACTCATAAACCGGTCTAAATTGGTTGCCATTCGGGCACAAGCCAACCCAATTGATGGAGTTATTGCTTCTACCCCAAGAAAATTTTTCTTCCCAATCTGCCTGTTTTGTTTTGGTGAAATGTAAATACGAATCTCACCTGAAGTGAAGATTGTGCCACCTGGAACCTGTTCTTCTGCTTCAGCTTCACCTTCCTCTGGATTTGTGAAATCTTCATCCACGGTGCTTACTTCATCTTTGTCCGGTTGATGCTTCTTTTTAATGCTATCAGCAAGTTTGTCTAAAGAAATGGCGATGTGAAGCACCTGATCCGAAAATTTCAGAAGTACTTTTGATTCGGAACTTTCATTATGCAGCTGCTGCAACAAAAGTTCCAGCTGGATCTGCAAATGAGAGACATCCGTGTGCAGGGAGTGAGGCATAACAAATTGGTCGTGGGAGATACTGGCGTTGAAAGAGAAAAAGGATTGCGGATATGAGATATGGAAGCCGAAAATGAAGATCTCATCTGGCATTCCCGCTAAACACTTAATCTTATACAGTATTACAACTGCTTCTAATTTCTTAAACCGCTTACAACCTGGCCACAAATCTTGATCTGCCTCTTCAAGCAACCTAAAAAAAGTCTCCGCCTCTTCTGGACGCCCTTCCCTAATGGGGGGTTCAGTAGACGGCCCAACACATTCTTCTGTTAATGGTTGGACAAATACATCATTAAGAAAATCATACATGCCAATCACCTCATCTCCTGTTTCTTCTTCTCCAATTGCCATATTTTGCTCTCCAATGTTTTGCTCGCTATGATGTCGCCACCAAGCGTTTTTATAATCTTTATCCATATCATACAATATGAGATGTTCAACAATAGTGTTCTTAACAAAAGTGTATCGATTACAACATCTTTTGCAAAGACATCTAAACTTATCAGGTCCAACACCATTTGCAACTGCTTGATCCAAAAACAAATTAATTCCAGCTGTATACGCTTCAAAATTTCGAGGTATCGTCAACCAACTCTTGTCCATGCTTTACCACTTTACGAGGGCAAAATAGTACGTTCACACTAAGATGCCTACAACCTTTCAATCCCTATCATGTAGGCATAACTATTAGAATTTTCAATTTCTATCTTTCAACCCTCGAACTCTATCACAATTGCAATCTTTTAATTTTCAACATCTATTATAGTGAAAACAAATTAAAATAACAACAAAAATTTATCAAAATTATGCTTATCTAATCCATTCTAATAAATACCAACCAAAAGTTATCAAAATAACAGCAAAAACAAATTTAAAATAACTAAACAAATTAAAATAACAATTACAGTACAAAACAAATTAATTTAACATAATATATTCTTATATTACTAAATATTATAAGTTTATGTTATATTTAATATTGTTAATTTAACATAAATGCTAATAAATATTATTCATTTCCATTTCCTCATAACAATTCAAGTGACAAAATTCATTAATTCGACTAAATATAAATTAATTTAACAAAAATAATAGAAATTTATCTAAGTACTTAAATTAGAATTTTTAAATAAATAAACTTGTGTTTTATACAATTAAAGAATTTAGTGATAGAAACCTGAATTATGGAAGAATTCCGTCGTCGATGAATTCATTATGTACTCAAGCAGCTCAAATAAATTCCCTACAAAAATAAATTGTAAATAAAAATTAAACATAATAGGAGAAAATAAAAATATTAAAAGCAAAAAACACTTACTGTTGTGAAGAAGTAACAAACGAAATTGGAAGAACAAATAAGAAAGGTCTAAGTGAAAGAACAAGGGGGAGGGTTTGTAAGAGAGGAAGAACAAACAAGAAAAATGGAAGAGAGGATGAAAGAGAACACGGGAGGGTATATAAAGACCCTCAATCCGTCACTACAACCGACACTAAGTTTTACAATATTTTAAAAAACTAAAATCTATGTCACTCAGAACCGACGCAGACTTTAAATTATTTAAAAACAATAATTTGTGTCTCTTAAAAGTGACACTAATACTTTATGTCGCTAAAAAGCGACACTGTTTTGTTTAAAGCGACGCTATTATTTAAAATTATTAAAATATATGTCGGTTATAAGCGACATTAAATGTTTACGTCGGTTTAAAAGCGACGTAGAAATTTTATGACGCTTATAAGCGACAGTAAATCCGACGTCATCTTCAGTTAGTGTCGCAACTGTCTTATCCGCCACTATATTAAATTAAGCCGACGCCACCTACTGACACTATAAGGCCCTTTTGTAGTAGTGTAGCATCGTCGCAATAAGGCATCTGACTGGCTTAAAACTGCTTTCCCTCTGCATTTCGTAAGATTGGCTTTCTTCTTCCTTCCAACTCGGAGAAATAACAACCATTTGAGGATTCATTCACTCTCGAAGTTGTTGACTTGAAGAGTGAAGTTGGATCTCTCTTATTTTCTATTGAGCTTTCGATCTTCCCCAGGTGCCTAGCATACTTTATTGGCAGGTTGCTTTTAACCCAAGAAACCCCCAAAAGCAATGCAACTTGATCTGTGATAATATTAAACAAGACCTACTTCATTGATAATTAAAAACAAACAAAATTTCAAAGTTTCTGTGCATAAGCACTTGTACAAAATTATGCGTGGACCACTAAAACAACGAAAGAAACACGAAAAAAAAAAGACGTTGATCAGTTAACTTCTTCAAGACCTTCTTCATGGTGTTGAAGAAACGAGGATATCTTTGCCCAATTTGTCGCTGATAGTACAAAGAGATGCAAGCGATTTCAAACTTGCGTGCAAAGGATGGACACACTACACGATCATAGCCAACTGGCCAAACCAACATGTTCGCTACTGAAATACTACTCGGTACCTTTTTTAATTGCAAACCAGTGCCTCATCTTCTTCGCCTTCACCATCATCACCTTCGTCATCCTCATCATCTCTGCTTGCCTCTGCATATTCTTCGAGTGACACAGACGGGAACAGGTCCCCCGCTTTGTCTCCTTTCTCGCTTGCAGCTTTCGCTACACCCGTAGATTTTCCAGCATTCATCTGTTACAGTACAATCCGAGATCACAAATTATGCAACTTTTGATTCACAATCGAATACAAGAACAAACAAATGTGTTCGAATTCGAGAACATACCGCACGCAACAGACTCCTCCTATCTTTTTCTCTTGCATTTTTGATCGCCTGTGCATTACAATTTCCACAAAACAAAACAAACCCATCAATTTCCGTCAATTTTTGAATCGAAAACCAGTTAAAAACTGGAAACTTCACAAAAACAACATTAAAAAAATCAAACCTCTTGAAGCTGCTTCTTCTTGTTAGGAATGTTGGTACTACAAGATAGAGAATGTACAAGATAAAGTAAAAAATGAACACAAAAAATTTATGTGGTTCGGTAATTTATACCTACGTCTACGAAACAATGATCAATCTTCACTATATGAAAAAAGATGAGTACCAAGCCAAAGACAAAGCTTAATGAATACAAGAAAGTATGACAAACACTTTCTATCATTCTAAACTTCACTCACAATGTGCAGTAGAACTCTCTCTCACTCTCAGAATGGAACTCTAGCTTTGAACTTGAACCTTTGCTACTCACACTTGGTTCTTAATTGGTTGGTTCACTACAACATCACACCCATATTTATAGGTGAGGATTTGACATTCTACTAGTTTCTAGTGTATTCTTCAAATCTCTAACATAGAAAAATCTAGACTAGCCACAATATTGTAGTTTCCAGATCTTTCCATTTGCAACCAAGGAAGCTAGTACTCTAGCTTCTTCCGTCAACTTAATAACATGCTAGAATTGTCAAGCATGCTTCCAATCTCATTTACTTACTAAAATAATCTAAAACATTCATGGCTGGACCATATACCAACACTGCTCAGACTCCACTTCCGCAAGATCTTTTCCGACAATTTGCTCGACACGACAGCAACACTTCGCACAAACACGCTGTTCCTTAGCACAAGCAGCACAGAGCTTATGGTGGGACTGACGGACGGCGCGTTTGGTACAACGTTGGCACTTGGCGGGCTCCGTCAGGGTCTTGTACTTCCCGTAACGGCGCTTCCACTCGATCTGTTCCTTGCACCGCTGGCAGACCCCCGTTATCTCCGACAGCGGCCGGAACCGGCCTCCGACCTCGGTTTCGTTGATTTTGACGCCGAGGTTTGGCTTCCATGCGAATTTGTTTTGGTGCCGACCGCCGTTCATCATGGTTCCTTACGATTTCCAAAGATTGAAACTTTTGCGTTTTCTGTGAACAGAATAAAAGAAAGTCTAGGGTTTTAGGGGAGGACAGACAGAGAAGACTAACCCGATTTGAAATTTGGGTCTTTTCTGACCCGTGTTTGATTTGTATGTGGGTTGTTTGGAATCTGATTGGGCTTTTGATTGGGTTGATTTGATATGGTCCATTTAGCCCTTTGGGAATGTGGACACCTACTAGCCTACAGAATTTGAGAAAGGTGTGAGGTTCATTTGACCATTGGGTTTTGGCCTTTGGGTTGGAACTGCGTAAGAATGTACAAATCGTTACGTCTTTTGTATTGTGTTGGAACTTGAAACTTATTCGACAAGAAATTTTCTGACTTAGGACCGTTATAGTTATGATTGCTTCTCACTGGAGTTTTAATTGCCGGCTCCCATGTCATTAGGTCATTAGCTTCCTTGACCTTCCGACACAGGATATGCATTAGCCCCCATACATGGTTTTACGATCTGCGGATTCCATACAATATGAAGTGAACTTCGAGTTATTGATTACAATATTAATTACAACACACTTATGTTGATCAGCAATATGTTATAAATTAGGAAATTAGAAATGACACAACTTAGAAACATGACCTACGTACGATTACCGTGGCATTTTTTGTAATATTATTGAAAAGAACAGATTGTGATCAATAACAAGATAACTAATTGATTGGTCAAGCAAGTGGCAGACTGCTTGGTAGATAGAGCATTTCTCTTCAACCCACTATTTTTCGAGTTTAAATTTTCTCTCATCCCCATAGTTAGAAAAATTTAATAGAAAACTAATGAAAAGGGCTTGAAAACTTTGAGTTTTAATGATAAGGACAAAATAAAGGGTAAAGTGAATAGTATCAGGATTGACTTTTTAGTGTAAAAATGTGGTTTTTCGTTAAAGTAAACAGTACCGGGTGCTTTTCGTTAAAGTTCCCAAAATTTAATGCAGATTATCCTCCCGTTTGTTAAAAAAAAAAAAAAGATTTATCAGTAACTAAGTATTTCTCTTTGGTTTATACCTAGGTTAGTAAATGGAAATTACCTACGAGTACAATGCTTCCATAATACATTAATTGGTTGAGATAAAACTCTAATTCAACCACCAATATGAGGAGGGTTATCTATGCAGCAATGTCGTAAGTTACGATTTGGACACTGGAAGATGTCAGACGTCCTGGCACATGCACTGAAATTATAGCCCAATTCATTAGACCGGAGCTCGAAGCCTTGTTCGATAAAACTCCTAACGAGTTTGACAGCTTCGAAGGTGTGCTTCAACACTCCGTTGCCTGAATTTTTGTTCAAAGAAATCGGGGACAACATACCTGCCGAGATGCTCAAGGAAAATTTCCGAACTAATGGTGCACATCCTCCGATTCCCAATGCCTGAGGTGATTACGGGTTGGTTTGGAGCTGCGATGCTTTAAAAATTTGGACCATCAAATATGAAAAGCACAGAAACATGAAAGCAGGGTTTACCATACTTCTAAAACAAAAACTTTTTTTTTTTGTTTTTTTGAAAGCATGGTGATCAGTTTTAGTCATTTAACTGCTCATAGCAATTTTATATAAAAGTTTATCAAACATTCAGACTCTGTGTTTTTAGTTAAAAGTACTTTTAGTTAAAATTGTTTTTACAAAACAAGTTTACAAAACACTCAACAACTTTATTTTATATCTGTTTAGTTCACAACTAAAGTCATGAAGGGCCATTTCTATTTCGTGCGTAGCCACCCAAACCAGATCAAGTTGTTCTTACTTGGAGGCCTCAAACCAGAAGAAGTTCGTTCATCTGCATCTAAGTGCAGCCTTCCATCCGTGGGAGCAAAAGCATGGTCCAAAATCCCACTTGCCCCGTCGAATGAGATACCGTCTCCATGATCACGGCGTTGAAGGCTAAACTTCACGTCATCTGGCGAACCTAACCCAACCTCTTGAAATTTGAATTTGGAAACCTCAAGCTCCCAAAAGATTACAAAAAATATTTGTGGCCATTTGTCTCTCAGAACGCTACTCGAAATGGATATGAAAAGTATATTTTCCACTTCTTTCGTTTAATTATTTATACTAATGTGTTTTTGAGAGTAGATTCATGGTTTAAAATGTTTCACATTAAAAAATAATGGTTCATATTGTTGTATAATATATAGGGTGGTGCCTAGACCTCTGTTAATTTTGGTCTTTTGATTTTTTCAATTTGTTCAACCTAACGGCTAAGGAAAAATAAATAAGAGTGTGTATGGATAGCATCACCCAATATATTATTGTGCCTCCTATTCATGAATCACATAATTATCACTAATTTTTATAGATCTTAACTAGTAGAAATTTAATCATAATTTTTTCTTGTAACTTGTTGGCTTTATTTTACTTCCATTTGAAAACAGATGAACATAAATTCTATGAAGACAATGTGCTTTTTGGGTAAATACATTATACACCATGTTAACATAAACTTAGCTAGGCAGAAGCTCAAAACCTCAACTGATTGAGGATATCCCCTAATATTATTGTAGCCAAACTATATTATATAAGGATGGTCGAGTATATTAAGTATTAATTTGTTCAAGTACCTTATAAGAATAGGGTATGTCAGTCGTCTATGTGCACTTAGAGTCAGTTGTCTATATGCACTTAAAATCAATAACACATGTAAATTGCAAAACCTCAACTGATTGAGGATATCTCCTAATATTATTGTAGCCAAACTATATTATAAGGATGGTTGAGTATATTAAGTATTAATTTGTTCAATTACCTTATAAGAATAGGGTATGTCAGTCGTCTATGTGCACTTAGAATCAGTCATCTATATGCACTTCAAATCAATAATACATGTAAATCACAAAATACATCAATGCTAACAAAAATCCGTGTGCGTATTATCATCATCTTACCTCAAAAATCACATTGTAAAGACACATGCTTGTTAAAATGACGTATACCAACTCATACCTCGATACCATTTGACGGGTTGGTTGTTACTTGATAGTGGTGAGACGTTTCTACCTAGCATTTTCCATAAGACTATATAACAAGTTAACAACACAATCTCCATTTGTTGTATGGAAAAGTATACAAGCAAATCACTATGCATAAAGACTAGTGGCAAAGACTTTGGATATTTTGTCGACTACCCTTTGTATTAAGTCTACTAACATAGAGCACAAGTGTGAGTGTGAACAATTTCTCTTAATAAGTGTATATATTTTTTTCTATACTATTATTAAGAGATGCCTCATGGTCAACTTCCCCCCCCCCCCCTTTTTTTCTTCCTATTTTGCCCTCCTTTTTGTCAATAGTGTGTATGAAAAGTAAGGGCAAAATAGGAAAAAAAGGGGAAAAACTGCCCATCTCCTCCCACGTTCTCCTCAAGCGCAACCATTTCAGTTCATTCAAACTATCCAAAAAACATCATGATGTGTATGAAAAAATGATGGTGGGACAATTTTTCTTAATAAGTGCATAATTTTTATCTTATGTAAATATTTCGATATAAAATTACTATTTTGCCCTCTTTATGTAGATATTGTGTATCAAAAGTGAGGGCAAAATAGGAAAAAAGAGGAAAAAGTTCAAAAGATATAAAATTACTATTTTGCCCTCCTCATGTCAACATTGTGTATTCAAAAGTGAGGGCAAAATTAGAAGAAAAGGGGAAAAATTCAAAAGATACAAAATTACTATTTTACCCTCCTCATGTCAAGTATATTATATAAGGATGGTCGAGTATATTAAGTATTAATTTGTTCAGAATTTGGACACCGGAAGATGTCAGACGTCCTAGCACATGCACTGAACTTATAGCCCAATTCATTAGACCGGAGCTCGAAGCCTTGTTCGATAAAACTCCTAACGAGTTTGACAGCTTCGAAGGTGTGCTTCCACTCCCCGTTGCCTGAATTTTTATTCAAAGAAATCGGAGACAACTTACCTGCAGAGATGCTCAAGGAAAATTTCCGAACTGATGGTGCACATCCTCCGATTCCCAATGCCTGAAGTGATTACAAGTTGGTTTGGAGTTGTGATGCTTTAAAAAAAAAAAAATTATTAAAAAATTTAGAACATCAAATGTGAAAAGCATAGAAATGCGGAAGCAGAGTCTACTATCTAAAAAAACCTCTTTTTTTTAAAATTTTTTTATTTAAAGCAGGGTGATCAGTTTTAGTCATTTAAGATGCTCATAGCAATTTTATTAGACATTGTTTTTTTAGTTAAAAGTACTTTTATAAAACAAATTTACCAGACACCTAATAATTTTTTATTATTTATGTTTATCTTCACAACTAAAGTCATGAAGGGCCATTTCTATCATGACGGATTGGGATCACCTCTGGATCCTAACTTGCGGAGCTAGCTGATCACAAGATCCCAGCCTTCCATTTTCATCTTGCCTTGTTTTGCTTTAGAATTTTTCATTATTCCTGGCCACAGGATAAAAATGGAAGGATGAGATCTTGTGGTCAGCTGGCTCTGCAGATTGGGAATCGGAGGTGATCCCAGTCCTTCCGTGCGGAGCCACCTAAACCGGATCACGTTTGTTCTTACTTGGAGGCCTCAAACTAGATCAAGTTCGTTCATCTGCATCCAAGTGCAGCCTTCCATCCGTGGGAGCAAAAGCATGGTCCAAAATTCCACTTGCCCCGTCGAATGAGTTACCGTCTCCATGATCACGACGTTGAAATCTAATCTTGACGTCATCCGGTGAGCCTAACCCAACCTCTTGAATTTGAATTTGGAAACCTCAAGCTCCCAAAAGATTACAAAAAATATTTGTGGCCATTTGTCTCTCAGAACACTACTCAAAATGGATATGGAAAGTATATTTTCCACTTCTTTCGTTTAATTATTTATACTAATGTGTTTTTGAGAGTAGATTCATGGTTTAAAATGTTTCACATTAAAAAATAATGGTTCATATTGTTGTATAATATATAGGGTGATGCCTAGACCTCTGTCAATTTTGGTCTTTTGATTTTTTCAATTCGTTCAACCTAACGGCTAAGGAAAAGTAAAATGGAGTGCGT